GATGTGTAGAGTGATGTTTTCGAGTTCTGATCCGCCGTTGATTTAGATTTTCTCTGGAGTGTCGCTTTTTTCTTTTTACTAATGGGTTTCAGCATTCAGTCATTGATTTTTTTTAGGACGTCTTAAAGCTTAAGGGACGAGTGGTTGGCCTTCTGCAAAAAGTACTTCTGCTGGATTACTGCCAGAGTTGACTTTAGTTTTGCTTGTGGTAAGATAGAAAGTCGTTAGAATGCTCTGGGGTGTAGAAGTGGCCTTTTGCTGTTACTTTTATGTGAAAAGGATGTTGACTGGTGGCTGTTGTTGTTGTCATCATACAACTACGAGGATTCCTGGAAATACGGTAATAATACTGTTGCTGAGTGATGGTTTAGTTTTCTGGAGAGGGGGAATGTAAAATATACTATTTTTTTCACTTTTCTTCTCGTAAAGAAAACTGGACCTGTTTGCTATCAAATGTTGCCCCTCAATTCTTTCTTTTTTTATCTTTTTTTTTCGAGTAATGGTTTTTTTGGTCTCATTGTACCCCTACGTTTTTTTTTTCTTCCATTTCGGAGACCAAAGACTTTTTGTAAGGGGAATTCTGTTTCAACCGTGATTTGTTTGAAGGTGGAGGCTGCCGTAACAATCTTCCAGTCAATCGTCAATTTAACTCATATTTAATTGTTGTTTTTCAAGAGGAAAAACGATCCAATTAGGTTTTTGTGCGGGGCTTCCTTTCTATCTTGATCAAGTCAAAAAAGTTGGTTTCTTGAGTCTTTGACACCTCCCAGAAGGCTTTACTGTTCGTCATCAAAAAAAGAAACTGAAGATATCTATGAAGTCTGCAACTTTTGTTTGTTCATATACTTGGAACTGTGTTTTGGCTTGTCGTTCAGTCAAGCATTTTACCCAACATTACTGGTAATTATCCCATACTTTGTTTTAGCTTTAGTCGCCAGATTTTTAGATAAATTATTTGTGACTGTTTTGCTTCATAATTTGTTTCTTGGATTTCGTTGGGAACTGTTGGACTGCATTTTGGGAGTTGATTCTCCGACTCGTTCTATTCGAAGTAATTCCTCACCTGTGAAGCCAGTTAGAAAAATATGGCTCGTAAACCATATAGGGATGTGCTGTGACCTTAAGTTTTTTTTGGTTTCGACAGGTGGCACACGTTTTCAGAAAAATGAGCCGAAATTTAAGTTTTGCGCCAATTTGGTTGCATGAAATATACACTAGCGTTCAGAGGCAGTGATCGAGGCGATGGTGTCATTTGTGTATAACTGCGAGCTGGCGAAATACACTGAATGTGAGCTTTACAGAATTTTTTACGATCGATATTTGTCGTCAGATAATATTACTTTTTTTTCCCCAAAAAACTATATTAAGATTTCAGCAGAGGTCATCTAGAAAACTGTAGGATTTTTGATTTATCTTACTGTTTCCTCAATGACCTTGCCAACACCTGAATAAAATTGGTAGACGTTTTAAGGGGTCATCTGTAGCTTTGACCAGCCTTCAACTTCTTTCCGCTTATTGAATTGAAAGATTGCTTTATAATACCGAACACTTCGTCGCTGGTACGTCTAAATACTTAATTAACTAGCCAAGTACAACTGACATATTTGGTTCAGCCATTCTAAAGATAAAGTGCGATCATCGTTTACTCATTCTTTTCCAGTACAGGCTCTGAATATAACACATTTCAATTCGACACTATCGTGAAACTTCAGCCTAATTAAATACAAAAAAATTTTGAAAATTAACAGGTTAGTTTGTAAAAACTCAATTTTACAGTGATTATTTCACTTCTCTGTTTTGGCCCAATCTGTTCCCTGTCTTACGAGAAACGGAGCAAAACAAACCTTTAAATCATTTCCAAATAAAAGGCAATCTTAGCACAGCTCGCAACGAAAATTCGTCGTATATCAGTAAAAAAAGATCTGGTCTAAACTCGTGTTGGTAATTCTGCAGTTATCTTACTCTTCAAATTTGGAAAACGAGCTATATTAAAAACACCATAAGTGTAAACCCCTCTATAAAAACAAAGCAAACACAAGACGAGGATTTATTACGAGGCAATTACCGTAAGCCCCTTGAAAAGCAAATCGCGTCACAGCTAAGGAAGGCAGTCACTAACTTTTGCTGAGGTTGTCACAATGGTTGGTGTACATAATCTAGAAAGACTGAATTCAAAAACAAGTTTATGGATTCTCCGCGATAAGAAATACCTCATAACTTCAGCACTGTCTCCGCGAAATCGGTAGCCGTTTCGCTGTTTAATTATAACACTTACATTAAACAGTTAAAACGCTTAGCTCGCGAACTTTTTCTTCCACTCCTAAATAAAATCTTCAGGCGCAAACACTGCTTAAAGATGTAATTAGGAACCTCAGGATCGCAGTGGATCGTCAAACAGCAACCCGTCCCTGCAAAACAAGCTGCGTCATCCCAAATTCTGTATTGGAAAACGGTGAACCGTTAAATATGATGAACAAGGCTGGCATTCCAGAATTAAACAACTTGTAAGTAAACAAGTGAATGCACCAAGAACTGGAACTGGAAGGTCCAACGACAGACAATGATCAAAAAATCACCTTGCTTTGCAGTAGTCTGTCTTCACCAAAGCGGAAGTATCAGTCTTCAGCGACACAATGCGACGCCGAACAGACAACCACCGAAGAGAAAGTCTCGGAGAAAAATTAACAGCTTCCCCTCCACTCTTAAATTTCAGTCACTAACAAACAAACTCATAGAACAGGAACTCTGCCTTCCTAATCCAGTAAAACGTCAAATAAGCAAGCAGTTTCCTTACCAACTACACAAAACACCACCAAATCAAAAACCCGGGAGCGCGGCCCTCCTCTCCAACTCTTCCAGAAAATCTGAAGGATTCAAGGAACCTCCCATGGGACCAAAGCAGGTGCGAAACTCCCAACCCTCACTCCACTCATCATGAAACACCCGACCTCAAAGCACGAACAAACACCAAAGACACCATGTCTCCCTACTGAAAGCAGGTACCTTAGCCAAATAGAAAACTAAACCTCATTGGAAAACTCCTTGAAAGATACCATTAGCCCACACCACACATATAAAAGCCTCTGCTATACAAGCTGAAAAATGAACATTTATTCACGAACTAGGAACTGTAACATCCGACTTATACAGGTGTGGCCCTAAAGAGGGCCGTTGGGTT